TCTAAATCAATTAATTTAAATAATTTTCCAAATTTTCTTCTAAAATTCAATTATTTAAATACATAAACTCAATTTTTTATAATAATTGTGACTCTCCAGTTTTTTCTTAATTTATTAAGGTATAATATTTTCAAAAAATTATAATAAAGACACTCTTACAATTTTTTTTTTTAATATTTTAAAATAATTTTTGAACGATTATAGTTTTTCAATTTTTGAAAAATTTCCAAACAATTAAAATTTTGGTGAAATCTTTTAAAAATAATTGAATTTTTTAAAAGTATAAATATAAGTGATCAAATTTTTGAAGAAATTTAATTATAAACAGGACCATGATATTTCAAAAATTTTAATAAGTCCAAAAAGTAAATTTTAAATCTTAAAAAATTATTGCAAAACAATTCTAATAATTAGTTTTTAAAAATATTTTATTAATGTAATTTTTCGAAAATAATTATATTTCTTCAAAGAATTTTTGTATAATTTAAAAGTACTAATGAATTTTTTTAAGAATTTTAATTAAAAATTTTGAACCTTCTTGTTTTTTCGAAAATGTTAAAAATAATTCTAAAATGTTATTATTTTTGGAAATATGTAATTGAAAATATTAAAAAATATTACATTTTAAAAAGTTAGAAGCTTATTTTCATTTTGCAATTTACCTTTAAAGATTATTCATTCAAATTTTTGATAATTCAATTATTTTCAAAATTTGCAATTAAAATCCTTCAAAAGTTGATTTTCAAAAAAGTGTAACAAAATACTTGAAAATTGAAATAAATTAATTATTTTCAATTTTACTGGTGCAAACTTTTTTTTCCACTTATTGCAATATATAAATATGAAAATAGTATAAATAAATAGTGGAATATAAAAAGTGCTAAATTTTTTTTTGAAAATATTTTATTAGTAGTAAAAAGATTTTTTTTTTTTTGCAGTTGGAGAAAAAAAATATTTTATTCTTATAATATCTCTCAGTAGTAAAAAATTTTCAGTCATTGGCTGACTTAGACGATCTTTTACTACTGATTGAGAAAAATAAATCCAATACAAATTGATTGTATAAATTTTCACTCATTGTCTGATTTAAAATATCTTTTACTACTTGATTAAGAAAAAAGAAAAAATGTGGATGTGAATTCATTGCATAAATTTCTAGTCATTGGCTGACTAAAATAATGTTTTTCTACTGATGGACAAAAAAATCAGGATCACAATTTATTGCACTTATTTTGAGTCACTGTCTGATTTGTATGATCTTTTACTACTGATTGCAAAAAAAAAGACTGCAAATTAAAAATTTATTGCCGAAATTTTTTTAGCCATTGTCTGACTTAAATTGTCTTTTACTACTGATTGTGAAAAAAGAATGCAAATATGAGTTCATTGCATGAAATCCCAGGCATGGTCTCACTTAAATAATCTTTTACTACTGATTGTGAAAAAAGAATGCAAAACGAGTACATTGCACGAATTTTGATTAATTGTCTGACTTAAAAACTCTTTTACTACTGAATGCAAAAAAATAATACAAATACAATATCATTGCCTTTATTTTTTATTCATTGTCTGACTTAAATCCTTTTTTACTACTGAGTGCCAAAAAAAAGCAAGCGAATACGAGTTCATTGCATAAATTTCCAGTCATTGTCTGACTTTTATAATCTTTTACTACTGATTGTGAATAATTAATTAAAATTAGTTGTTACAAAAAATTTCGAATCTAATTAATAAAATCTTAAATAAAAAGTTTTTAACTTAATATCCTACACATTTTCCGTGTATAACAAAAACAATAGAATTGAAAATTCCGTTATAGATAAACCTTTTATAATGCTATTTACAGCCAGCGTGAAATTTAAATCTCACAATATTGAAAAGCATATAATTTAATTAATACAAGAATAATTACGCTTTGATAAGCTAAAATAGTTGAACGTCAGGTAATAATTTAGTTTAATTTCACGTCTCTGAATGTGTGTGTGTGTCGACATAGAAAAGAGTTTTCTCTCTGCAAATTTAATAACGGACTCGCACCTGTTTCGAACAGCTCACGAGGCATGGAATATTGCAACGAATTCCTGCCTAGTTTTCAATGCGCATATATATATATATATATATATATATATATATATATATATATATATGTCTATATATATATATAGATAAATGTAGACATTTGTATACGTGATATATGATAATGCGATACATCAACTTTTCCCTACAGATATATAGATATATTATATAATTCAAAGAGACAATACAAAACTGAAATGTATAAACAAAAGTTTTATGAATAATTTTTAATATCCCAATTAAAACTAAACGAATTGTTATTTTAGTAAATTTTGTTAAACGCTATAAACTATCAATGTAAAAATAGAAAAAAAAATTAATATTTTAAAGATTGAATAACAAATAAATAAATAAATAAAAATAAACAATAAGTATTAATTACTTAAATAAATACTGAGTAATAAAATAGAGACTGAGTTTGAATTAATCAAACGGAAACAAATTTTTTCTTAAGATATCAAATTGGGACAAAAACCGAATCAAAATGTTGCTTCTCAACACTTTTAATTCGTTTTTTGTCTCAATTTGATATCTGCAGAAAAACTGTGTGTGTGTGTGTGTGTAAACTTTAATAATTTTCAAAAACATGGAAAATTTTTTATTTTTATACCTATTTAGAATATTAATCATATTACTTTGGGAATAATTTGCAGCTATTTACAGAAAATAAATTTTCTTGACGAAAATATGTAGGTCAACTTGAAGAAGACAAAAAAAAGAGTGTATAGTGGAAAATATGATTCATCATAAGCGGTAATTCTTGGGGAAAAAAATTTTTTTTTTCTTTCCTTTATTTTACGAACAAAAAACGATTCTCTTTCACGTAAATTGTTATGGAGTTTAATATCCTTTCCTTTCTTGTCCACAGTATTTTACTAAACGTGCAATTCACTTGTTCTTGGACGAAAAGCATTCACTGCATTATATTGTTAAGCTTAATAGCTAATTATGGTAAAAAGTTCTTAAGAACTTTCCTTCTTCTTCATTTTCTTGTTTCACTTACCTTAGATATAGTATATATATACATAGATACATAGTAATATATACTAGACTACATATATACTATATATATATATATATATATATATATATATATATATATACATACATATATATATATATACTATGTATATACTATATATTTTTTCTTCGAGAGAAAGTAATATATATTTTACTTGTTTTATATTTTATAAATCGCACACTCCTTCCTGCAACCAGTGAAATAATCAGAGACCCTCGGGATTTTTGGTTGGCCATTTTCTTTCTTCGTTAAATAATCATTTTCAGCTGGGTCTTTAATTTTCCATTTTTCAAGTTATTATCCTTCAGATTCTGACAATAATACATTGCTTTTGTACTTTATGATTTTCCATTTTTTTGTACCAAAAGTTACTTTTACTTAGTTTTTGATTTTTTCGTTTTATTAAATTTGAATTTCGCGCCACATGCTTCTGTGAATTTCCGCCTAGATGGCGTGAAAATTCACTCGCAAACGAGACGAAGTACGTGGAGTATAAGTATCACTTACACTTAGTAGTCTAGGCTAAATTATATATTTAGTTTTACTTTTACTTGGTAAATAATTATATTATTATTAATAATAATAATAAATATATAACAAAAATAATAATAATAATAAAAATTTTAACAAAAATAATAATACCAAAAATAACAATATAAATAATTATAATTTTTATAATTATATTAATAATTAGAGCAGTGCTGCCAGATTGAAAGATTTTTCTTTAAATCTACAGAAATTTAAGGCAATCTGCGATATTTAAAGAATTTGAAGAAAAATATTGTAAAAACTTGAAGATTTTTTGAAAAAATTTGCAAAAGCTGTGAATATATAGCAAGTAATAATAAAAATATTTATAATATTTATTATAATAATATTTTTATTATTTTCAAAAATGTTAATAACATTTTTAGAAAAAATTAAATATTAAAAAAAAAAAAATTGAATAAAATTCTTGATAAGAATTAAGTTATTTTCAAAAATTTTCACAAAATTCTTTAGGAAAATTCAATTATTTTTATAAACAGTAAAATTCATGACATTAATTCAATTATTTTTAAAACAATTTTAATAAAATTTCACTAAAAGATTCAATTATTTAATAAAATTCTTTGGAAGAATTAAATTATTTTCTAAAATTCAAATAAACATTCTTTGGAAAAATTTGATTTTTTTTTTAAAAATATAATATTTTTTGTGACAATTCAATTATTTTCAAAACAAGTTTAATTAAATTTTTTCGAAAGAATTCAATTATTTCAAAAAAATTTTAATAAAATCCTTCAAATTCTTTAAATTATTATGAAATTTTTCGATAAAAACTTTGCAATAATTTAGTAACTTTTTCAGTGCATTAATTTCAAAATGTAAAACATTTAAAAAAAAATTTTATTAAAAACGTTAAAAAGCGAACAAAAACTAACTTTAAACTGCGAACAGATTCAAACACACCATTATTATTAATTTATTTCTTGAAAACTGTTTGTGAATTTCAATTTCATTTCTCATATTTTACAAAAAATTATAACCAAAATCTGAAGAAATTTTGTTGATTTGTCTAAAGATTTCTGAAGGTAAATAAAAAAAGTTTGAAGATTTGTCCTTTTAATCATCTGGTAGCATTGAATTAGAGTTACTTTCATTAAGTTTTTGATTTTTTTTGTGATAGAAAATAAGTTCTATTCTTGGTTGAAAATTTTTCTTTTTTCGACAGAAATTATCAAAATAAAAACAATAATAATTTAAATAATAATTTTATTATCTTTTATATAAATTTTTTTGATTTTCTATAAACGATAATTAAATTATATAATAGAATTATTTATTATTTAAATATGTAAAAATAATAACAAAAATAAACTATACAAATAATAATTTTTTCTCTCGTTTTTTTCTGTTACAGTGATGCATGCCACGATGCATGGACACAATTACGAAAATCACCAATGTTCGGCTGCATCTGTCCAAATAATCACATGAAAAGACGATGCGATCGAATATTTTCGGTCGTCAATCATAATCCCTGTATTGGTAAGTAATTTTTTTTTTTTTTTTTTTTTTTTTTTTTTAAGACATTTATTTAATTTTCAATATTTTTTTTAAACAGAAAATGAATAATTAGTTTTTTTCAAAAAGTATGTCAGTGTTTTTTAAAAATGAATAATCCAAAATAAAATTAATTGTAAAAAAGTATCAATTTTATCCTGTTTGTCTTTTTTTAAAATTATATTTGATGTTAATTAAGTAAAAAAAATTGAATAATTTATGTCTGTCTGGGCTGCCAATCTCGTCAATTCAGGGTGATGAAAATTTGTACGCTTAATTAGAAACATAATTATCTGTTTTTTCTTTTTTTTAACTCCCTTTTGAATTCAATTAATTGAATATTTGATGAATAATTTTTTTTTCGTTGCTATTAATTTATTTTTTTTGTAACAACAGGCAAAACAAGAAACAATTAGCTTCTTTTTATTATTACTATAAATATTAATGAAATTCGATAATTGAATACAAATTATATAATTAATTAGCATCAATTAGTATATATTTATTTACTCTCCCTGCATTATACAGGGTAATATCGTGAGACATTTAGAAGCTTCGGTTTTAATGCGTAATTGTTCTTCTAATGCAGTTAATAATTATTGTTTACATTAATTAGGTATTTTTGTTATAATAATAATAATAATAATAAATATGTAAATAATTATTATAATAGTAATTGTAATAATAATAATAATAATTATTATATTATTTATACAGTTGATTAATCTATCACTCCGAGTCAGGTGGAGAATAAAACAATTATTTATTATTATGTCGTATAATTATAATATATAATAGAATAATAATTATTAATATTATAAATAATATTAATAATATTTATGGAAAGACTGTTTATTTGAAATAATTTGCAACAAAAGAGAATTAAAATTATACATTATCATTAAATTAATATTATAGTTAAATTATACGATAAATAGGTACAAAATAGAATAAATAAAATATTCATAGCGTTTTGAAATATTGAATTGATATAATCGGACAATTGAATTGAAGTATAATGGGGGAATTAGGGGTTGTATTTTCTTTTTTTTTTTTATTGTTTTCATGTGTTTGTGTGTGTGTGTGTGTGTGAAAGTGTATGCGCAATTGGCAATAATTTGATGAGTAAGATTCCCTTCAGAGAGGATTCTCTTCGCCCCTATTTACCATTGACACCATTGATTCCATCAGTGTACAATCAGAATTGGGAATAATGATTTACTTTGATCTCAATCGCTCACCTTGGATTGACGAGGCTTTCTGTTAGTATCTCTTAATGGTGTATATAAACACACGCATACACACGCACCAATTGCGATAAACCATGTCCTGTATATACAATATATATACACATATATATGTATATATATATATATATATATATATATATATATATATATGTATTTATATATATATATATATAGTATCCAGGGCAGTACACACAATGTAAGTATTATCCTGTGTGCGTAATTGCGAGCTTTCATAAATGTGTATTTAGCTCTCTTTTATATATAATAATAATAATAATAATAATAATAATAATAATAATGATAATAATAATAATAACAATAATAATATTACTATATGTGTGTTACTGTATACACGTTAATACTCGCAGAATTTATTTATCAGCGATCAAGGTTTATAACTATCAAGGGACAACTTCAATCAGATTCATCACCATCATTATGATTGAATCACTAGTTGAAATATTCATTTACGATAAAATTCATTAAAATACTCGCTGATTAATTTTTAAAAAAAATTTATTTTTGCATGATTTAAATGTATTCAAATTTTAAAATACTATTTATTTTTTATTTATTTATACTTTTTTTTAATTTACAATTAGTTATTTTTTTAATCAGTTATTAGTTAGTTTATTAGTTAAATTAGCTATTTTATTCTTTATTTCACTATTTATTATTTATTATTTATTATTTATTATTATTCTATTATTCCTTATTATTTATTTCGTTAATTATTATTTATTATTATTCTATTATTCTTTATTATTTATTTCGTTAATTATTATTTATTATTATTCTATTATTCTTTACTATTTATTTCGTTAATTATTATTATTATTTTGCTTTTCTTTACTATTTATTATTATTTCCATTTTTCAATTAAGAAATAAATTAAATTGAGATTAAGTGATACTCTTCTCGTGGAGAAAATAAAAAAAATTGTGATGTAATATTTTTTCTTAAGTAACAATATCTATGTAGACATTAATTTGGATTTTTTTTTATTTATTTTTACATTTTTTAGTTACAAATTAGTTTCTTTTCATTTTTTATTTTTTAAAATTATTTTTTAAACATAAAAAAAATTTTTTTTAATCAGTGAAGCCTGGTTTAATAAAAATTACAGCGGATAATCTAAGAAAAAAAAGCAGTTGTATTTGTAGTATTTGTAGCAGTTTTTTTTTTGTATTTTTTAAATAATTATTATTTATAATAATTATTCAAAATTCCTAGAGAAGATTAATTAAGTGTTTTTATTATTTTCACAAAATTCAAACCCAAAATATTATTTTTTTTTCAATTTTCTTAGAAAATACAATAAAAAATATTGTTTCTTTCAAATGAGAAATAATTTACGAAACGATATTTTTTTCATATGACCATAAACCAGGTTTGACTGTATTTAAAAAAAAATATTTTTCTTAAATATAATTTAGTAACGTCATTTTTTTAGTAGAGTATTTAAAATTTTCTACAATTTTTGTTTTGTTTATATAATTATTTATTTTGTAAAATAAAAACGAGAAATTTTTTTAAATAATTATTTCTCGAAATAGTTTAAATACAGTTTAGAATAAAACATTTAGAAAAAATTATTTCTTAAAATAATTTAGAATTAGTTTAGAACAAAAAAATTAGAAAGAATTATTTCTTTAAATAGTTTGGAAATAGTTCAAAAAAAACTATTTCTTAAAATAGTTTAGAAATAGTTTATATCCAAAAAATTATTTTTCCACTTAGTGTAGAACAAAAAAAAATTAGAAAGAATTATTTCTTCAAATAGTTTAGAAGTAGTTCAAAAAAATTATTTCTTAAAATAGTTTAGAAATAGTTTAAGACAGAAAAATTATTTTTTCACATAGAAAAAAATAATTTTTTTTAGAACAAAAAAATTAGAAAGAATTATTTCTTCAAATACATTAGAAATAGTTTTGAAAAATCCCAAAAGAACAGAAAAAATTATTTATTAAAGTAGATTAGAAATAGTTTAGAATAAAAAAAAAAATAAATTAGGTAAAATATAAACATGTAATATTTTTTTTGACATCTTAGCACCATTTTTCAAAATCTCCAAAGAAAAAAGTTTTTAAAAAAAAGTAAATTTTAATGGGACATGTATTTGTTGCCTTATTTTTTTAACTACTTCCTTGCCAGATGTCACTGTTGCTTATATAGTAGTTTCTGTTGATTTTTTTTATGACTATCGATCTCGACAAGAAACTTGTTTTCTTGGGGAAAAAAGGCGTTAAAAAAAACACCCTTATGTATTATATATCTGATATAAAATTTTACCACCCTTTTTCTTTGTGAGCTTTCGCGTTTACTTAGTTGCAAAAAGAAGAAGAAAAAAATAGTGTGCGACTGAAAGTTATAAAATGGCTCATAATTTTTTTTTTCTTAACTTAGAAATCACATTTATTGACATAAAGTTAAGTTGTAAATTATGTTTTGAACATTAAAAAAAATATTTCATTGTATTCTTAATTTTTTTATTTTTTTGTTCTATATTTTTTATATTTACAATATTTTTTATATTTTTTTTTAACAAAAATAAAAAAAAATTTATTGAACGACAAGTTTTCTTCGATTGTTCACTAAAAAAAATTATTAACATTGCAAATTAAATAATTAAAAAATTATTATTAATTTATTATTACATTCTATTTACATTTGGATTATGAATTTAGAATAAATGCATCGCTTTGCAAAACTGGCATTAAAATTGTGAAAGTTTATTCGCTTTTCCGTGTATACTATTTTTATATTAATATTACACACGCTTCGTGTCATTGTGAAAATTTTCTGTTAATTACAATTCGTTAATTCGCTTCGCTCAATAATCAATCAGGTAATAATTATATTTTACATAATAAACGATAAAACAATTATTTTTAATTATATGAATGATAAAATAATTATTAACAAATTATGTATGAATTGTGAAATAATGATTTACAATTAAATGAATAATAAAATAATTATTTATTATTATATGAATGACAAAACAATGATTTGTAATTTAATTGAATTATTATAATTATTTATTATTATAATTATGAAAACATTAAATTATAATTTTATTCGTTGTAATAAGTAATAAATTTTGTAAAAGTAATAAATAATAATAATAAATAAAATAATAATAATAAAAAATAAATAATTATATAAAATATGTTGAAATAATTATTAACGATTATAACAATAAATTTTACGAATTTAAAAATTTTATCAAAGAATATATACACATTATTATTGTTATTATTATAAACTGTACAAAATTAGTTTTCCAATATTAAAAAACCATTTACAAGTACCTAATATTAAATTTTCTTCCAAGAAATAATTTTTTTTTCCTCATTTCGCTTTGAAATTTTCGTTCGCGCAATCAGTGAATATTTTTCATGTCCATCAATGGAAAAACAAAATAAAAAAAAATTCTGTATGCGTAAAGTTGAAAAATTGAGCTTGAGGTGTACACAATGGATATGGAAAAAAAACACGAATGGCTCGAGGGACAATAATAATTTTTTTTTTTTTTTTTATTATTACAAAATAGACAAACGACTGACGATATACACAGATCGGTTTCGGACAAATCAGGAATGTAGTTCAGCGATGCATCACGTATCTGCATATGCACGTTGCACTAGCACCACCGTAATTACGAGTACTCTGCCCGGAAATGTCGCAAGCGTGAAACGTTGAAAATTATTCGCCGTTAATTCTCCGCAAATA